CCATCTCTTTGTACAGAAAATGAAGAAAGCTGCTGCAGGCTAGCGGTGCTACACTGCTGAGCTTGGCTGCCTCAAGCAGATCTATCAAGGGAAAAAGGGAACATCTCCAAATCAAGTGCAGAATATAAAAAGGCAAAACGCGAATTTCTGCCAAAAGAAGCAAACATGGCAGGAAAAGGGGAGGGGGGAAAAAAAAAAAAGAGGAAAAAGAAACCACCCAACCACCCACCCGATTCTGCCCTCCCTCCTGCCACCCCCACGCAAGGAGAAACTCGCCCCCACTCTCCCTCTCTCTCCCTCTTTTTTTTTTTTCCCCCTGAAAGCAGAAAGCTGAACTGCCAACTCTTTCACATACTACCCACCAGATGAGGTGGGGCCTCTCTCCAGCAACCACTTAGCTCCAGAAATGATGTGAGGGTAGAAAAAGGCCACTCTGCTGGAAATTGTCACTCTTACACAAGCTGGCTCTATTCAGTCCCTGATCAAAGCACTGCCTTACAGAGAAAGTCGATTTGCACGCCCTGGGACAAAATAATCTAATTTACAAGCTCAGGGTATAGAACTTTCTTTAGGGAGGAAGGGAAAAAAAAAATACCAAAAAGAAAAAACACATAAACATCCCCTCCTCCCCCCAGAAATATCATCTATGATTTCTTGCTGCTTAAGACAGCAGAAAGAGGAATTTTAGCGTATTAATCTCAAGACAAGATAAGTTTATACTTGTCTGTGTAAACAGTTTATTCACTGCAGGAATCGGGAGTCTGCAAGTCAACTGAATTAGCAAGTCAGAGAGTTAATTTTCGAGAGCCGCGAATCAGATCCCCTCAAAGCAAGGCGCGTATCTGCTGCAAATGTCTCTCTTTTGGGAGATCCTGCTTCCCGCCAGCTTACAGACTTTCCAAGGCTGCCGGTGACACGCGTGAGGCCAAGCCCCAGTCTGCTCGGCACCAGCAGAGGTGTCAGGGTGGTGGCCAGAGCCAAGGCTCTCACTAGACCCAACCGGGGCATCTCTGCTTGGCTTTAGACCAGGAGGACAAATTCTGGGCCACTGAAAAGCCTTAATTAGCACCTGGCTTTCAGGGAAGGACCAAAATGGGACTGCACACAAGCAGGTTTTTGCAAGGATGCTGAGAGCACATGGCTCCTGCCCCACACCAAGCAGCATCTCTTCTCTGGCATCACGTAGGGATGGAAACGCTCTCCACCCCTGCTCCCTTCCCTCCACGCGTGCCCATTCCCAGTCCCACCATTTCCCATGGCCAACCCAGACCCTGCAGCTTCCACCTGAACTTACCGGAAAATGAGGTAGAGAAACTTGACCGTTGGCCTTGACGCTCCGATGCATTTCCCGCTGGAGCTGCTTCTTGCTCCCAATTCTGTACGGCGGGATCCCATCTCTGCACACGAAAGAGAGGTCACCGTCAGTCGGGGCTCTCCCCATGCTCTAAGATGCTTCTCCACCACCTCTGAAACCAGCCAGGCACACCACAGGCCCGCGTTCCCAGAGGTGCTGAGCCCTCTGGATGTCACCTGAAGCCTCAAACGTCTGGCGGCTTGGGAAGTGCCTCTGTCACCATCTACATGGATGTGCAGTAATTAAGCAAAAGCTGAAAAGCAAACTGAAGGCAACTCTGAGCGGGAAGACGTCCAAAGATCCATCAGCTTCGCTTCTGAGGCATCTAACAGAAAGAACCTTCCAATGCTAGGTTTCTGCTTCTGCCCTTTATTTTTGTTGCTTTTTCACCACCCAATTACGCTCTCTAAGACCACAACTTTCCTCAAGCTCTGAAACACCCCATGAAGTGTTGGCACAGTGGAAACAAGAAGGAAGAGGCTGAAGATGGATGGCCACCAAAAGGCCGCTCCCCACACTCTAGCCCTATTTAAGATCCGGGATGTTTCTCCTGCCCTGAGGCTGGCCGGCACAGGCAGGCCACCGCGAGGCACGAGCAAAGCCGGGCCGTACCCTCCGGGCACGACGTTGCTCCCCTCGGCCACGCCCGCTCGTGGCAAGGAAGCCATGAGAAGAGACCAGGCGAGGAGCAGCGGCGGGAACAGCCCCCTGCACAGCCCGCTCGAGGCAACGCGGGGTGTTTTCATCCGGCCACGCAAAAAATTACCACAGTTAGGATTAAAGGGCCTTCTACAGACAGCGGGGACAGCCGGAAGAGCATGCCTGGAGATCCTGAATGTCTAATTCTACCCCTTCCCTCAGACTGGCTGAATAACCTTGATCTCCGGTCCCGTCCCTTTCATCCACCTGCCCCCACACCTGACTCATCTCCTGAGCGGAGAAAATAGCTCCTGCCCAAGGCCGGGCAGCCGGAGGAGCCGACGTGGCATGGCGTCCCTGCGTGCCACCTCCCGCAGCCACGGCAGCGGTGGGCACACACCGACACGTTTTGGACATGCAGACGGAGATGAGGCACAAGGGAATGCCTTCCCGGAGATGCCAGATCCCTTCTCTTGAGGAGGATGATTAGATGCCATCGCTCCACGCTCAAGGTTTGACGCACGCTACCACAGGCCTTTGTGAAGATATTGGCCAAAGCGTTCAGTTGCCATTAAATTGTTTTAATGCGCAAAATTAAGCTGCAAAGCCCGGAGTGAAAGACCGAACAATTTCATCTTAAAGAACCTGGAAAAATCTTCATAATAAAAGAGAGCATGCTGGGACCACAGAGAAAGTCCTTGATGCCACAAGATGAACATCAGCCTCCTCTAGACATGGTCCACCAACGCACATTACATTACAAGTGAAAGGAGCTAATTGTCCCAATGTCCCCATTGCACAACACGGGGCTCTGGAGCGCTTTCTGGGGAAGCAGCCCAGCACGCACCAGCCATCACAGCCGGCCATGGCCACTGACCACGGCCGCTGGTGGCCACCAAGCATTTCTGCTCCACAAACCCATGGGGCAACAGGGCTTGGGGCACGTGAGATGCCTTAGGTTTGGGGGAGGATGGGGGGAAAAGCAAATATAAGGTGAAAACCAAATCACCTGTACCTTCAGAGAAGCATTTGTTAACTGAGGCTTACTGAGATAAGGGTCTCTTAGGGAAGACCTTCAATATAGGGAATAACCAGTAAAATAGGCATTTTAAAAGTAAGTAAAAATGCCAGCATGAGCATGCTACATGCATACATACGTACGGGACTAATCCCGTTAACCTATTCAATGAAAGAGGAGGTGTCCTCTATAAATAGCCAATACGGGTAAGAGCGGGGAAGCAGCTGAAGGTCTGTGCATTCAACGCGAGGCACCCAAGGACACGACCAAGGGACAACAGGGAGCCCTGCAGCCCTCCTGCGCTCCCCGCTTCCCTCCAGGTCTGCAAGTACGAGATGCCATCCCCAACCCCTCTGCTGCGGCCACCGAGTTGGAAACACATCTCCTTGCAGGATGTCCCCACATCCCAGCTCCAGGGGACCATCTCTGCC